AGCAAGAGAAGGAAAGGAAGAAAATCTAAGCTCAGTGAGGAGAAAAAAAATAAGACTAAATAGATACGAGTTTTATTCCTGTGCTCGTGAGGTTTCTTTGGAACGAGTGCACTTAAATGTAACTGTTTGGACAGTGTTAATATACTGCTCTCATTTGAAACAGGAAAAATCAGTAAATAGGGGTGTCATTTAACTGATGCAGTAGTAGAAGATGCCATTATAAATAGCGAGGAGAGTGTCTGACAATTTTCCATGGTGTGTCTTGTTCTCATGGACCAAACTTGCCTTATTGATAAGCTAGATTTTGAAAGATAATTCTGAGGCATGGCACTCATCATTTTTCCTTCGAAAGCTCTTGAAACAAGAGATACATATGAAGCCTTTCTTGGCTTTACATATCAGGTTCTACTGTAGTTCATGGGTTATTTGCAACTGAAGAATATTTTTCTTTTAACATTAGGATAACTTGACTGCTGCTACTTCTGACAGACTGATTAGAAGCTCTTTCAGTAAAAAAAATGAATGTCTAAAAGACACATTTGTCATACCGGCTCTATTGAAGATGAATATTTCTTTTAGTCTTCCCAGGGTAAAAGGAATCAACTTCCTGTCTAAGATGTCAGCAGGTTTTGAAAAATTTGAGACAATGTTGTATGACTAAGTGTAGGAGAATCTCAGATTCTTTGACTTTGTCAAGATACTGTGACCCAAGGGTATCAAACACTATCTGTCTAGCTCTGTCAAACAAAGCAGATTTGGTAATTGTGCATCTGGCAAAGCTGGTTGCTTCGTGTTAGTTGAGTACAATGAGTGTAGGTCCCTACTGGCATGACAGCAGTAAATATTACAGCTGAATTTCAGAAAGTAGAAGTTAGTGTAATGCAGTATCAGATGCTGCTTCTCTGTAGAGCTCTTGCTTTGGTGAGAAGGATGTGTTGTTTGTCATGCAAAAGCATTACAAAACTTTTTGCTTTTGTGATAATTCAAGTTACAGTGATGATTTATCCCTTCCTTCCTTTTTCTGAGCAGTTGTTTTGCTGACTTTGCTGCTTTTGAGGCATATGGGCAGAATATCTGCAGAGCTGCTGAGTTTTTTTTTTTTTTCTTTTTTTGAATAAAATCTTCATTGTTAGCAGCAGTCTCAAGTCTCCATCTGCGCTGCTAGTTTGTTGCAAACTGGCTTGTAACAAATAAAGCATTTGTAAGACAAACAGTGCAGTATTCCTCCCAAATTATTTTTCTCTGTCACAATGATTCAATGATTCTGGGAAGATTATGCTCTAAACATAAAACTTTAAGTTAGAAAAGAGAAGTGTTTTAAATGCTTAAAGATGAAAATTTTAATTGCAAATGTTTAAGGCAACTTTATTTTTACCAACAGGGAATTAAAACAGAAAATAAAACTTCAACTCTGAAAGCTTCCGCAGATGCCCTCACAGGAACTGAACTTCCACCTGTGCCAGGGAGGAAGGGTTGCTCTGATGCATCTGCAGTTAAAGCAGGGTATGTATGGGCATAAACTGAGATGAGAGTTTCCAGCTGGATAGAATGGGGGAGGAAAAAATGCTTTTCTCACCATAAGCATATTAGGGAGTGGAACATGGTGCCTGGAGAGGTAGTTCAGCCTCTATCCCTAGAGATTCTCAAGACCCAACAAGACAAAGCCCTGAACAACTTGGTCTCACCTCTGAGCTGACCCTGCTTGGAGCAACGGTTTGGACTAGAAATCTCCCAGCCTCACTTATCCTGTGTTAAAAAGTAAATAGCTGCAGAAACATGTCTGGCAAAGCACTTAATGGCTTTGTATTATTCAGTAACATTTTCTTGTACTTTTTTCTCCCCACTGAAGAAAAACCCTTTCCTAAGGGGCCTAACCACGATTCACTGTTTCAATAGCAAAATCTCTTGCACACTCTCCCCTTCTGGAAACTCTACAATATCTGAAAGCTGTCTCTGCAAAGGAGCACTGTGCTACATGCGTTATCCTTGCTGCTGTTTCAGTGTAAGGTGCACGCCCAAGTGTCGTACTGTGGGATGATGTGGGTATGGGGAGAATAAAATGGTTTTGTTCAGAACATATAGAATCAATATATTAAGACCATACAAATAGGAACTCTTAATATCTTGTCTTTCTTTTCAAAATCAGACAAAACAGTAACTCCGTTCGAGGACTGTATGCTCCAGAAGACCTCTATACCTTTCCCCCAACCCGAGTTGGGGAGACGCGCACGTTAAAGGTCAATTTGCGGAATAATTCTTTTACTACACACCTGGTAAGCTCGACAGACCTGCATCTATGTGCTTCATTCACTTGCACTGTAGGTTTTTTGTGTCTTTTAACCGAAGATTGCAATGGTATGAAACTCTTAACATGTTAATTCCAAAAGTCAATCTTCATAGCTTTTTCTGAAGAATTCTTTTTTTTTTATGTTGTCATTCAAGGATTTTTTTTCTTGTAATTTTTAATCTTTTCTATTATCTGAGTATGACGTGCTCTTGGCTTCTTGACATATCTGCAACTGAAAAAGTAATACATTATTTTTCATGCAGATTCATTGTTTTTTGTTAACTTTGTTAAAACATCCTTATATACATATTTTTAATATGTACAAAGCAAGGCATTTTATATCCTCTATCTATCTGAAGTTATATCTGTAAATTATGTGACTAATTTTAAGCATGTGGTAAACTGAATATGATGGTCCAAGATGTAATGGAGTTTTTAAAGCATTTTGTATTAAATTACAGTTGAAGTTTGTAAACCCTGGAGAACCTTTCCACATCAAGCACTTGAGGTACTCCTTAAGGTGAGTAATGCCTATGCTAACAAAGTCCTTAAAAAAAAAAAAAAAAAAGGCAAACAAAAAACTTACCCAGGTAATTCAGTAAAGTAAATATCTCCTGTATATATGTACAATGCTGAATTGTAGCTATAAATACTCAGTATTCTGGCTGCGTAGTTAAATCTGTATTTTTTGCTGATATTGTGCTTTATAATCTTGGTTAGAAGCAGAACGAGCCCACACAGTTATTTCTGCCTCTGTCAATTTCTTCCCTGCAAATTGTTCCTAACAGTGCTGCTGCTCTTAATGCTAAGCCTAATGCTTCATTTAACCATTTGACATGCTGTGCACAATCGATTCACTCCTGCCATTTATCCTTTCTGCACAACAGACCAAGCAAATTGCCTTCATGGTGCTTCAAACTTGACAATCCTGCAGAACTGCCCCTAAGATTCTTTGCAAATACCAGGTTTGAGCAGTCTGGTATTGCCTGGTCCTATCAAGTATTGCAGTGTATCGCCTGCACAAAGGGAATATTCAAGTTGATGATAACAGGATTTCATAAGGATAGTTTAATGCAGATGTTTGCATGAAAAGTAATCAAGCACAACTTCTTGGTGTTTCAACAGGTCCCAGTTTTAAATACAGGGAGACTAAGTGTTTATAGAATAGGAATTATCTGAGCCAAGTCCTAAATATAACTAGATCCTCTGACTCCTACATCTGTCTCGTTTCCTGTGTGCCAGTCAATGACATATCTCAGTGTGAAATGTCACAACTCTGCTTAGATTTTTTTTTTCCAGTCTCCCTACTTGAGTAACATCTTTTTATTGTATATGCCACACCAGACAGTGTGAGAGGCTTTGTTTTTGTATGGAAGTAGTGACCAGGATGAAATCCAGTCAAATCCAGATGTCCAACTAGATGCAACTTCCTTGGAAAGCATTTAGATATTTCAGAAAACTTTTTGAGGGATATTATCAAATCTGCTTGGTATATTTCTGTTAGAAATTGTGGACTCAGTTGCTTTTACGCTAAGTAGGGTTAGCACTAAGTTAAAATTCTACCTATCATTTATAAATGGTATCAAGTGATACCATTGTACCATTTAATAACATTCTGAAAGCTTTATTCTAGCAACTTGGACTATTTTTGCTCCAGCTGTAAATACTGACTTCTAGAGATATATGTGTGTCTATATATATATATATATGTATATATATAAATTAATTTGTCAACATAGTTTTCTGGAAAAGCTTTCTGGCTTGGAAGCATAGAATGTAGAAGAGTTAGTTGACTTGGAGAGGTACTCTTTAAAGAAAAAGTGCTAAAAATTCTTTAAATGGCTTTTATTTAAGGTTTATGAACAGCGTCAAGGAGACTCTGAAGAAAGACAGGTTGGGTTAACTGGACATTCTATAAAGTAGTGTTCAAAAGTAACTGGAGAAGAAAACTGTGTTTGCAATAACTTGAATAGTTGGTCTGCAAATAAGAGTGTAAAATTAAAGCTATATTTTTGGACTTTATGTATCAAAAAGCCCCATGGTCTGGTGCATGGTTCAGAGTTGGATTTGAAAGTAATCCTGAGTAATCATGTTAAATCTGGGTAATAGAATTGCAAGGTTTTGTTATCTTTAAAGTCAAGAGCTTGACTTTCAGAAGTTGGCACAGTGGTTTTACCTGATCTTACTGGTTCACAGTATTCACAGATACCAAAATTTAACAGTGCTGCTTCCTTTTCCATAGTTGGTTCAATTGAAATTATCATCTGACTTAATCCAAGTACAGTATCTTGCAGCCAAAACTGCAGGGAGAAGAGTAAGGAAGTTTAAGTCTTCACCAAGTACCTCAGAACATAAACCCTGTTAACGACTGCGCAATCATTTAGTTAGTATTATAAGCCTTGCAAGGAATGGAAAGGAATTGTCTGGAATTTGCATTCAAAAGAAGAGTTTTATTTGAATAGTAGATTTTTACTTCAAGGCTGGGCATCTTCAACAAAATGTCTTTCAAATGATATACAGCTGAAACATTAGAACACTTGATAGCTTTAAGAATTTTTGAAAATTTAAGTTCTGTTTCTGAAAGGATTATGATGTTCAGCCTCGTAATAGTTTGAAAATTAAGGTGCTTATTTTCTGAAGCCATCTGCAATTAGCTGACTATAGAGTAGCAGATATTTGAAATCATACGAAAAGGTAACACTTTGGTGAATAATTGTTTTTGTTTTCAGTAGCTACCATTCTGGGTGTCAGAAGTCACCACTGTTGCCAGTACACCTGGCTACTGTGGCTTAGGTGAAGCTTATTCATTCTGTTCCTTTTGAACTTGCTTGTTGCTGCTGTTG